CCTACTCATAAGCGGACCTTGAACAATTATCATAATACTTTGAGAAAGGGATTGGCATACGTGGGAAACTACCGGCAGGGGGGAGGGAGGGGGGGATGGGATTGGCAGTTGAGGGAAACTGCCAGAGGAGGGAGGGGCACACCTCATCAACAAGGGTATCTGCATAGTGAACATTGTATACCTAACCCCAAATTGTATCCCACATCTTTAAAATAAAAGAAAAAAGGAAAACAAACAAAAAACCAAACAGGGAATTACCTGAATCTGCCCTTTTCACTCTCCACTAATAGGATAAACAGGGTCATAGTTCTCAAACAGTTTTGGCTCCCTGTTAAATATAGATTTATTCCTCATTCTGCTGCTGACTTTTTAAATGGGTGCTAACTTTGTCTTTAGGTGGCTTTTGAAGGTTTATTTGCAGTGAAATATGAAACTATGAAATTTTATTTATTTTATGGAGCCAAATTAATTTATAAGAATTGTAGATTTAGAAGAGACTTATTCTTAACATAGAACTTAGTATTGAACTGTCTTAGAGTGGCCAATTTAAAATAGTATAAATGTGTACCAGAAATTGTACAGGCCTAGGAAGGGAGTCTAAAATGTTACTTAACATAATTTAGAATCTCAACTAAATAAAGGCTTCTAAATTTCTAAAAAAAAAATTTAGTATTTGACATTAGGTTGTGATTAATTTAGATTGATAATTGGAAATTTTCAAATAATGATTAAGAAAATCTTTTTTTTTTTTTTTTTTTTTGAGTTGGAGTTTCACTCTGTCACGCAGACTGGAGTGTAGTGTCTGCTCCTGGCCACTGCAGCCTCAACCTGCCGGGCTCCGGCAATCCTTCCGCTTCAGCCTTCCAAGTGACTGGAACTACAGGCGTGCGCTACCACGCTGGCTATTTTTTTTTTTTAATTGTAAAGATGAGGCCTTGCGAAGTTGCTCAGGCGGATCTCGAACCCGCGGACTCAGGTACTTCGCTCACCTCAGCCTCCCAAGGCGCAGGATTACAGACTGAGCCACCGAGCCCGGCTGATTAAGAAAATCTTAAGAAAAATCTAAGAAAGATTGTGACTTAAAATACATGCCCCCTGAAAAATTGTCAGGTAGTAAGTATGCTGTGATAAGTTAAAGGCCAAGGAAATATGACTAGAAAAGTATATTTTGTTAATAAGAGGGAATTTTGGGTGTGATATGAGTAGTTATAAAAGTGGGGATGTCAGTGGTGTTCCATGGTTTAGAATAATTTTAAAAATGTGGTTTATCTTTGTAAGAGTTACCTTTTGGCAATATTCACTGTTTCCTTTTTCTTTAAAATATAGGAATCTAATCCTGGTTACTTATTAAAAGAAAAGACATTTCAGGAGCATAGCGGCTTACTTATCTGTTGAATATTTTATATTATAAAGATAAGGTAATTGATTGTAGTTTTGCAGGGCTCTTTTGATGGCATGAGCAGTATGTATTCCTCCATCCTCATTCTCCTCGTCCCCCCACCCTGAATAATTTGGAAAAAGAAAGAATTTACTAATCGTAATTGGTAAGAGGATGAACTACAGTTTTGTACACTTGGAAAACTGTTTAGAAAATTTTGTCAAACATTAAGTGCTTCTCTAGAAGGAATAAGAAGTTTTATTATGGGACAGGCTACCACTGATAAATAACATAATAGTACTTGGAGTGGTAAGAAAGAATGCTTTAAGAAAAGCAAGGTAGGCTGGGCTTGGTGGCTCAGCCTGTAATCCCGCCACTTTGAGAGACTGAAGCGAGTGGTTTGCCTGTCCCTTCAGGTTCAAGAACAGCCCAGGCAACTTGGTAAGACCTTGTCTCTGCAATAAATGGAAAAAAAAAAGTTAGCTGGGTGTGGTAGCATGTGTCTGTAGTTCTGGCTACTTGGAAGGCTGAGGCAGAAGGATTGCCGGAGGCTGCGGTGGCCGGGAGTGGCCACTGCACTCCAGTCTGGGGGACAGTGAGACTTCAAGACTCAAAAAAAAAAAAAAAAAAAACAAGGTCAGTATGTAGCATGAGCACTGATCTGTATGTATCCTTGTTTTCTTTAGAGGCCTAAAGGATTTCAAAAATGGTAATGATGGCTTTTATACCTGGATTCTAAATATAGGCCATAATCCTTATTTTTTTTTTTTACAAATTGAAGAATAATTGACAGAATTTTATCAGGTGAATCAAATTGATAATATTATTAATAGTTACATATTAACAATATATAGCAGAAAATGTACCTGTTTAAGTTTGAAAAACCAAATATTGGACAGGTTATTCCTATTTTCAACTATATTAAATCACGATACTTCCTAGGAAGTATAGTTGAAAATAGGAATAACCTGCCCAATATTTTGGTATATCTTTAAAATGAATACATAGAATGATAAAGAATATGGCTGTATTCACCTCCCATTGTTATTGGTATAATGAAGTGTATTCCTATCAGCAAAATCATTGATATTTTGTAAAACATTTAATTTTTAAATTTTCTCAATATTATGCCTAAATATCTTGAATAGGATCTTTCTCTTAAACCTATTAACTATACCCATTATTTCTTCTATTTAGTTCTGTTAGAATAGCCATATTAGAAAAGTGATTTTAATGTGAGCTACCAGACATGGCCATAGTCTTTTTTTAAAAATAGATTTTAATTTCTAATAGTTTTAGGTTCATAGAAAAATTGAGCCATCGTCATTTCTTATACTGATCAGACACCATGGTAGTATTTTTTAAAAGGAATCTATTCCTACTGTCAGTTCAGTTGTAGTATAGACATAAAATATATTTTGTAATATCATATTTGCCTTTTTATGTATTTTTTCAAACTTTTACTATTTGTACTGAATATAATATGTATAATTTTATTGTGAAATAATTTGCTAAGTAATTAACCAAAATGAAATAGGAAATAACAGTGGGTTTTACTGATGCACTCAGGAGAAGAGGGTATTTTTTGAAATCTTTCTATGTCCTGGGAATAGAATTGTGAATGTATGACTTGTGATTTGTTATTCTGTTTTTACTACTTTGGAATTGAAAACTTTTATTATTTGTTTTATGTTTTGGCATCTTCAAACAGGACTAGAATTTTTAGTTCTATTTTGAAAAAACTGTGACACAAATGTTGGACACATACGTGTCAAAGTTATGTGTAAATTATTGGAGCTTCAAGGAGACATATAGTTTTTTAAGAGTATTTATATACTTCTCTTTGTTATTTCAGGTAACTTCCAATCTAATTGATGCATCCATTACTACTAAATATGAACTACTTATAAATTCTAAAGTGTATATATATAATATAGTTAACACACACTTATAGGGAAAAGCATAGAAACCCTACAGTATCAAATTTCTGATTTTAAAATGAAAATTTACGATGCCGCATTTTTCTCTGTTAAAATCGGCTAGTTTTTCAGTGGGCACTTTTTACTCTTGGAAGGAAGAATAGGGATTGTGTTAGGTTGGGCTACTGTGAAAGACTTCAAGCCCACAAACCTTGCATTTTCAATTTCAATAAAATTATTTGTTTCATATCATCATTATGAAAACTATATTTTGGTATATCTTGCACTTTCAGAAAGTTCTCTTAACAGTTAATATAATTGAGCTGCATGTTGATATTTAAATTAATAAAACCTTCTCACAAGTCTGTATTTTAATATACCCTGTTTCCTAGGGACTAATGATACTGGTTAATTGAATGGCTTTGATGTGCATTAGTAATATTTTTGGAATACATTTATTTAGTTTTTTGGGGCAGTGCCTGATTTATTTTTAAACTTTTTTTTATGGAAAACTCTTAAACATTTACAAAGAATCATAAGGATCCCTTATATATTCATTTCCTGTCCTCACTAGTTTAATGTCATGTTGTCTTGTTTTATCTACATAATTTCTCTCCCCATTAATTGCATTTCTCCCCACTTTCCCAGTGATCATATAATTTCATTGATAAATATTTCACTGTGTAACTCTAAAAGAGAATGCAAGTTATTTGTATTCCCTCCAAGTATTTAGTTAGCTTTGTTTTGGAGAGGAAGTTCACAAGTGCTTGGAAGCAAGCCTGCCATTGCATTTTATTGTAGTTTATTTGCATTTAGAAAGACCAGGAGGTTATATTACTTGCTTATTTTATTATTGCAGTCTATCTCAAAGGATTTGAAATGTTGATTCTCTAAATGACATCTATGAAATTATGAATTACCATCATGGATATGTGTGAAATTATGCGACAGTTCTCATTTCAGAGTTAACCTACACTTGCTTTGTCATTTGTTTATGCCCCACTCCCCATAATTTGTTTCTTTATTGAAATGCTGAGAAACAGGCAGCATATTTCTCTTAGTTTCAGGTAATTCCATAAATCTCTATGTCTCAAAAAAGAAGAGAAAGATAAGAAGGGAGAGGGAAGGAAAGAAGGAAAGCAATATGGTACTGAGAAAAGAGAACAGGATAAGCATCATAGGCGAGATGCCAAACTATGGAAACAGAACTTCACCATTCTCTCATTCTTGCTCACCCGGCCTCCTCTCTTGGTCTTGGCTTATCTCTTCCTTTTCTTGGTCCTGCTTTTGGTTTATATCTTCTTCTGGCATTTACTAAACTTTTCCTGTTGCATTTAGGGTCAGGAAGATTGCTCATTCTTCTCTTTAAGGGTGTTTTTTATTATTTAAGAATTGTAAGATAAAACTTAAACAAAATACTTTAAGACTAGTTTGTTTTGCTTTGTTTACTTTTGTACAGATTCCTAAGAATGTTTATTTGAACAAGTCAAACAGTTTGAGTACCTACTATAGATTAGGTTTAACCTTTCTGTACTGTGGATGAATGACACAACTTATGAAAACATTAATTTTATATAGATTTTGAAGTTTACTTTAGATGATCTTACTAGAAAATTATGTAATCTTTTTTCCTTTTTCTCTGTGTTCTCATTTGCTGTTCACTTACTGGATGAAATTGATTTTCTTCAAATTTGACTCTGCAGTTCACAAGATTCCTTTGCAGTTCACCTTTGAAGGTAAGAGTTTACTCATTGACCTTAGTACTAGAATTGCTAATTGAACACTAGTATTGGTATCTTTCATTATTTGATAATTTAGGAGTGATCATTTTGGTGTGACACATATATTCCTCAATAACAGTAATGGGATAAATACAGCCTTTTTTGATAAAAGTTCCTAGACGTTACTGCTCTTCACCTTCATGACAGATATGGTTATACTTAATATAATATACTTAGGCTGTACTGTGTGTTCAAGAGCCTTGTTGTATCTTCATTACTCCCATAACACATCAGCGGTATTCTCTATAAATTGCCCTTGTATTAAAAGGGAGCTGGATACATTACAGACATAGGCTGTCATCAAGGAAGTTTTTATTGGTTTGAGAGACCATTTTAGAATTCATGAATTGATAAAAGCACAGGACTTAACTTTTATTGTGCTTCTGTTATATAACACAGGCACTATTCTGACTTTTTCATTCACTTTTTCATTTAATTCTCATGATTTTCAATGTAGAACTGATAATCCAGTGCAGCTAGAGTATACCAAACAAATACATTTTTAAAAATTGCATCATAACTACTCCGGTTAAATATTGGGGAATATATGCATGGAAGTTTTAATCTTTGGTGAAAAGTAGAAGGAAAAGTACCACAGTCAAAGTTTAGTGATAGTTTCTATCCTTTCTGTCTGCTTTCTTCACTTAATAATCTGGAGTTATATTTTACCTTGGCTAAATTGATCTTTTTTATTACTGGGCTTACGGACATGGGGGAAAAGAGAAATCAAAATGAAAGATGACCAATATGCTTCTCTTTTTTTGATGGGAAAAACTTTGAGGAGTTTTAGTTGATATTTTTCTAGTTTGGAATTCCACAGGGGTCACCTGATGACTTAGTTAATGGCAGCTACCCCCAAATCTCCTCCAGCAGCACTGAACTCAGAATTCTGTTTCTTTGCCACTATGTAGTGCCTGATAACCAAAGCAAAGCCAAGTTAGTATGGGAAGTCTTTAAATGTTTAATGTTGTTATTAAGTTTATGATATAGCTAGAGAAGGAAAATTGCAATGTGATAAATACCCAACATCTTCAATTTTGAATAAAAGAAAAATGATTCTGGTAGAGACAATACAATACTTGCAACTGAAAATAAAGTAGACTTTAATCTTCACTTTCTCCATAGAAACTGCTATGAGTTAACCATGTCCTTTTGTTATAAGTCCTAAACAGTTAACTGCCACATTAATCTAATGAAATTGTCAGGTTATAGCAATTACATCAGTAAGTTGATATGTTGTCATTTGAATGGACCATGTGTGAAGAGTCAGTTACTTCCCTCTGTGGGGCTGACCCTTTTACATTCCTGTACACTGAAGTCTAATAGAGTTTATTGAGCTTTATGGAAAAAGAGCTTTTATCACCTCATCAAGTCAGGCAACTTATTTCCATTATATTCCTAATTTTGTGGCGCTTTGTAGCTGCTAGATGTGCACTCCCTTGCTAGGTTTACATTGGACCTCTACCTTACAGACATTTTTATTGACATTTATAAGCCTGAATTACATTTTGTGTGGTACCAATTACAGATGTCTTCAATTAAGTGTAGGTAAATAAAAGGGATTGTATATCTGAGGCTGAAAGATTCTTGAAATTTTCTTCTGAGTTGAATTTGCCAGCCAGTCTAGTAGGGTATAGTCTCATTGTCACTTTTGAAGGTAGAGCACTACAGGGGAGGCATTTGTAACAAAAACTAAACCATGTGTGAATGTAGGTCGTTAAGGTTTCAGATATGTCTTTCTAGTCTTTCATTTTAGATCAATTAAAATCTTCTGTATTAATAGTTACATTAATAACCTATTGAGGAGTTAGCAACTATGGTATACAGGAACTATGCTTAACATTTTTCTTGGTTTATTTTAATTCTTAGAGAATGTCTATGAGATAGATATTCAAATTTTCTTTTGAAGAATATTGAACTCAGAGAGGTAGCTTAGATTAGCTAAGTGCTCAATATCATATTGTCGATATTATGTGACAACAATTATAACATAGGAAAGAGAAAATGGAATGATACTGCTGTAAGATTCTAACATTATATGAATATAATTTGAAAGACAATAGTGATAAGTTAGAGATGAATTTAGTAAACCCCAGAGCAGGATTTTTTAACTTTGGAACTAAGGACCTCTTGGGCTGGATAATTCTTTGTTTTGAGGAGTTGTCCTGTACATTATAGAAAGCTTAGCAACATTTCTGGCCTCTGCCTAGTAGATATCAGTGGGACTCTACTCCTTGGAGTGCAATAAAATGTCTCCCAACTTTGCCCAATGTCCCTACCGGGCAAAATAACTCCCTGATGAAAAACACTGCTATAGAGCAACCTTAAAACTGAAAAAATAGCCGGGCTCAGTGGCTCAGCCTGTAATCCCGTGCTTTGGGAGGCTGAGGTGAGTGGATTGCCTAGCCCGCAGGTTCGAGACCCGCCTGGGCAACTTGGCGAGACCTCATCTCTACAATAAATAAAAAAAATTAGCCGGGCGTGGTGGCGCGCACCTGTAGTTCAAGCTACTGGAAGGCTGAGGTGGAAGGATCGCCAGAACCCAGCAGGTCGAGGCTGCAGTGGCTGTGTGGGCCACTGCACTCCAGTCTGGGTGACAGAGTGAGACTCCAACTCAAAAAAAAAAAAAAAATTCTGGCTACTTGGAAGGCTGAGGTGGAAGGATCGCCTGAGCCCGCAGGTCGACGCTGGGGTGGCCGTGAGCACCCCACCCTAGGCGACAGAGTGAGACTCCAAATAAAAAAACAAAATGTAAGTGTGCTTTGTTAAAAGTTCGTAATTTGAAGGTTCGTACATAGGGAACTTGTTGTATATCTCAATAAAGCTGTTAAAAAGTATGTATCATTTCTTAATCTTTTAATTTCTCAAAATCTTGTAGAAAAGATCTGACTCAATTTGGCATCCTGTTTCTACATTCCTTATTATGGTTGGTGTGTTATACAGTTTTAGTATTCGGTGAGATAATATTGCATATTGAAGTGAGTGTATTTTAATTAATATTTTTAATATTGATTTCACTAATACTCTTAATATTAAATACTGTGAACCATAATATATATATTTAATTATAAAGATGTGGTGGTACAGTTCAGAGTTAGGTATACAAACGAGCCATAAATATTTTTTGCTAGCTAATAAAACTATCTTTCTAAACTTTCTCTAGAGTAGAGAATGACTTGACTTCTCACCTGAACCTCTAGATGACTGGAAGAGAATGTGCATATATTTGGTTATGTGTGTTTGTATTTGCCAGCTTTAGAGGTGGGGATATCGTAACTAGTGATAGTATTCATTTTGCTATCAGGAAAAAAGAAAGCACCATGAGAACCTAACTGTCTCTTGACTCTGTCAGCATATGAAGTATCATTGCTGGGGTGGCTCTAGATATCAGGGTGTCTGTAGTAGCTAGAATTTGGAAGAGGGAATGGCTGTTACCCAAAACTGGGTTCTATAGAAATGAAGGGCACTTGCAGCAATGGAGGGATGAGGTGGGTGGAAGGTTCAGCTGTTAAGCTGGGGAAGGGAGTTCAAGCAATTTTTTGAATAAGGATGACATTGAGGATCAGTGATCCAGAGTGGCCTGCATTGGGGAGATGAGGCCAGGAAGAGAGTTGAGCTGGTGAACTGGGGGAAGCTTTTACCTGCTCTCTGGTCTAATGCTTGGAGGGTGAGGGGAGCTTGTTTAAAAAGCCAGGGCAGAAAATGGTAACTACAGGGGAGCTAGACATCCTTAGAATGGTTGGCAGTCTGCTGTTTGGTACTGAATGATCAGAATTGGAAAGCTGGGCTGTGGCTTGATCCATTGGGCAAAAGTGAAAAATACAAGTTGCTGTATGGGCTGGGAAATAGTCATGTGGTTTTTCAGGCTGAGTCCCATACTCTGGAATCAGAAGCTAAGATGGCAAGGAAGCTGTTGACCTGAGGCATGGATTAGAATTCTGGAGCAAAGTCATTGGAAGTGGCATTGAATGCTTTCCCCTTCACTTGGGTCTGAGGGTTGCTGGGCAGTTCTGACTGGGACTCGGTTGCTGGCTAGGCCACTGACAAGGACTTTCATTGAACTGAACATTGTTTCTTGCCCTCAGTTCACTTTAATAAGTGGTATTTGAGGACTAGCCAGAGTTTTATTCCCCCGGCTCACAGAGGCACTCAGTAAATGTTGGTTAGGTAAATGAATTTACAATACTTCCGATTAGCTTTTGGATGTCACCTGATAGTTGAGCCAATATAAGTTGAAACTGCACATCTCATAGATATCAACTAGAGGTCTTTTACTGGAAAGCAATCCCATGTGGTAATATACCAAAACTGATTCTGAGAATAAAAGAAAGTCTACTTAGAACAGAAACTAAACATTAAATAGAAAAATGCCATAAATGTCCTGGTTAAAGAAGTTTCTGCATGAGGCTTGGATTAGTGTTGGCATCTTAAACTCCAAGTCCATTCAAGATGTCTTTTTGCTGGGTTAGGCCGCCTTTAGTAAGTAGTAGCGGTATTCATCATTACTCCAAGGACCTTTCAACTGTGTTGAAATTATAGGGTCATCTGCCTTAACTGTTCTCATTGCCCATTAGATATGCATGATTGCTTTAGAAAATGTTTGAATAGGAAATCCTGGGGTGGATTAGTTTCCATGGGGACATCAGTCTTGTTTGATGTTGGCAGTCATTGAGTTCTCAGTCTGGGTTGTCACTGTGCGATATATTCTCCCTAGAGGAAATACTGGAAAAGCAGGAGTCTTAAATTGAGCTGACATTAAATAAAGACACACATAGGATAGTTACTCTGGATTCTAAGGTATGTTTTAGAGTGTTTGATAAGTATTGACTAATCTTTAGAATTGAGAAGTTTGGTATTCTGTTACTTTTTTTTTTGAGCCAATTTGACCTTGCGAAAAGTCTTCTTGTTGGAGAATTAGGATTTAAAATAAAAGAAAATGTCAAAATGAACAAAAT